GGCAACTTCCTCTTTTTACAAGCCTGGGAAGACAAGATGCTTTTTTTTTTTTTTTTCTGCGAAGTCAACACAACTTAGTATTTGGGCCGCCCGTGCCGGGGTTCAGAGCTGTTCCCGTCCACCGTGTGCTGTCCCAGGCAAGCGTGCTGGGCAGACCCAGAACAGTTCCTGATGGAAACACAAAGACAGATCGCTGCTGTACAAATGGGTTGTTTTGTGGGCCTCAGAAATCACTATCTTTCTCATGGCCTTAGAATGTGATCCAGTAAATTCTCCAGGTGATCTTTACTGCTGGATAAAGACCTACAAGCAGGAGCCCCTGTTCTCCTGACCCCGCAAGATGGACAGTAGGGCTTTACACACAAGGAGAGTGTTTTCTCTGCACTGAAGGTAGGCGTCAGGAAGAGGCACCTTTCTGTCTGTGCCTCTGGGAGGTGAAAAGGCAGGAAATAGACCATTAGGAGCTGGAGCAGAGGAGGCTGGGGATCAGTTACAGCTAAGGAGAGAAATCCTGCCACTACCCTCAACTGTCCACAACACAAGCACAAGGACCTGGGTGAGGGCGGGAGGGATGGAAATGTCTTGTCCATTCTCAAAACTAGCCACTCAGTCAGAGTAAAAATTCCCTTTGATTTGGGGATGAAATTCATCACGGTCTTAGCTGGGGAGGCTTCCGGAGCAAATTCTTCTACTTCGGAGGGCCCCAGGACTCCATAGAGAGAGCTCCCTGCCAACCTTGAAGTTCAGGTGAACTTTCTGCCCTTCCCATCCTGAACTCACCAGTGTGCCTTTCTTTGCCCCTGGAGTGCCCTCTGATTGGACACCCGACCTGCCTAGGCCCGGGATGCAGATGCCAGCTTCCCACAGCCCAGACCTCCCCCCTCCTCCCAGTTGAGACCTTGGTTGGATCCAGAGCCCCAGTCCCTCTGTGGTGTGAGTCCTGACAGCTTTTTTCTTTTCTCCTTTTTTTGTAATGCAAGTACCTGACTGAAGCCTGGATTGTTCTAGCACCCCATCAAAGACAGCTATCTCCTTATTTCTGGAGTAAATGCATTGCCAGCCACACAACTAGATAAAGAGTTGTGTGGGGCTGCCTGTCCCCACAGAGGCTCCTTTGTGTTAGAGATCTTGGTTGATTTCAAGAACTGACCATTTGGATTGCTTGTTTTTTTTTTTTTCTTTCTCTTCTCACACTTTAAATTCCAGCTGTTATGTTTTAAATTCACCAATAAAGAGTGAGCCTGCAAAGCCCTAGGCCCCCACCTTCGCCTGTGCTCTCTCTCTCTCTCTCTCTCTCCTTCTATCTCTCTCTCTCTCCATCAATCGCTTGGCCACCTCACTGTATGGCCCCAGGTGTGCTCTGTAATTTCCATGTCCTGTAAGTAATAAAAATAAATTTTTTTTTTTCAGTTTCCTGATGGTTATTGCTGGAAGGCACCTTGCGATTATATTAAGAACCACAACGGCCCGTCTAACCACATTGGTTATGGATAGTCTGTGGCCAGCACAAAACACCCCCTTCCCTAGGCTCTGGAGTAGGATAGTTTCCAACACACATGATATGACAGCGAACGAGAGAAAGGACGTACAACTGCACGGTCACCTTCTGACTCTGGCTTTTCTGCTCCACTGCTGACAGCTTCAAGTCCCACCCCTCTCTCTTACCCCTTTCACCACCTCTCGGCAAGTCGGCAAGTCGATAAGGAAGCTGATGCGCTCCCCCTCCTGGCCTCAGAGAGAAGTTCAAACCAGACAAGCTCTGCCCCAGCAAGGGAATTCTCACCTTGGCCCCACTCATAGCCATGGTAAAACCTGGAGCTATTCCCTCTCGCCACTCAGGCATTTTCAGACCAGCTTGGCAACCTGCCCGGCCCTCCGTAGGAAGCCTCAGTATGTGAGTGATAAATCATTTCATACTCGCTAGGTATGAAATGTGTGAGTGTTGCATCATCACTTTCGATATCTGAACCCAGTTGATCCCACCTCGCTGCACGTAACCACAAGACATCGGCTCAACAGGCAGGGAGTCTTGGTGACCAGGGGTCTGTCTTCTCTTGCTCTGGTTGACTAACTGGTTCTTCTTCTTTTTTTTTTTTAATAATTTTTTTTTAACGTTTATTTATTTTTGAGACAGAGAGAGACAGAGCATGAACGGGGGAGCGTCAGAGAGACAGGGAGACACAGAATCTGAAACAGGCTCCAGCTCTGAGCTGTCAGCACAGAGCCCGACACGGGGCTCGAACTCACGGACCGCGAGATCATGACCTGAGCCGAGGTCGGCCGCCTAACCGACTGAGCCACCCAGGCACCCCGCTAACTGGTTCTTCTAACTGGCTTACTCTTTGAGTTGTGTTGGGTCTGCTGGGCCATGGCCCTGAGGTTGCAGTCATCTACCATGAGGGACCGCTCATTCTTTTCAAGTTCAAGAACAGACCAAACTGGGCAAATAGCGGAAGAGTAGAAATAATCACTCCTGCATCTCGTATGATAAGTTTTGATCCTTGAAATTTATACTGGATTCCATTCACTGTCTTAACAGAGGGGAACGATCTGTGGGCTCCTTTTTGTAAGGCTGATTGTTAAGTGTCAAAAGCTTAATTTTATCTTACTTCGTTAGTCGTCGGGTAAGAGCATGCACGTTCACTACAGGATATATCAGGGCAGTGGGTATTATGACCAGGAGGCAGCAATTTTGATGGTTAAAGGGAGGTGTGAGGTGTAACCGTTTTCCCTCTAGTTTACCTTTGGAAACTCCCTACGAGGGTAGAGGGTAACTTGCTTAAATTCAGTGGGATATAATTACTCAAAAGGAGCTCCACCCATTAAGTTCCCTACACACAATATTATTGAAATGACTGGCACCATCCACCTGGCAAGTGTTTTGCTGTCCCATATTTGGCCAGTAAGTTCTGTTCTGTGCCTATTCCAACAGCATCTCGGCTGCCTTGCAGCTGTGGGGATACAGCCCTCCTTGCTCCCTGCAGTGTCTCAACAGCTTCATCATCACACACACCCTCTGCAGGCGAGATCTTAACTGCATCCGACTTGCCCCAGGAGCGCAAGTCTGACACTACCCCGATGACATCCTTCTCATTTGACACACTCATTCAGAACATACAATGACTCACAAAGGAGCTCCCAGAGAGGGATAGGCCATTGTGCACACATAGCACAGGGCCCCATCAGCTCAGCAAATTTCTGGGCATCATTTGATCATTTGAAGGCTGTTCTGTCCCTGACACAGTCAAGAAACGATTATTGACCCTCTCAATGCCCGCAACTCTTGCCCAACATCTTTTAGGCCTTTGGATTCAAGGTAACACATTCCTCATTTACAGATTTTACGTGTGCCCATTTAGGCTTACTTGCAAATTGACCCACTTTGAATGAGAAGCCCTTAAGTCAAAGGCTCTAGAATCTATCCAAAATAAAGCAAAAAGCTGTTCCCAGTTCCCACCGTATGCCATTAGAGTAACAACTTCTGTCTGCATCCTGAGCCCTTCTAGAGATGGAGGTCCTCACAAGCACTCAGCCTGTGCTCATTTTGCCTTGGGTCATGGAAGCAGCGTCCTGCAGGGAAACCCCAAAACACACGTTTGGAGTATCGGCATCAGGTCTCTTGATGGTACACACATACGAAGATAGACACCAACAGAGAATGGGTATATGGCAGAGTAACAGTGATGTATGAGACAACGTTGCTGAAGAAAGGGCCTGCATTAGCCCATTTGTAGTCAGAACTAAACTTAGTCTCGTTACCCCAACGCGGCTTCTCCTAGGTGGGACTGAAAGGTCAGGCCAAGTGTGCTTCTGGCTATAATGTACGGACATGTGGTATCATGAGTGAGCAGCAACTAGAATATTGGGGCCATTAATTAAAGCTCTGGATTAAAAATGTCTTTATTGGTCTTTTTTGGGTTTTTTTTTTTTGCTGTTTACAAAAGTAATAAATGGTCATTAGGAAAATTCTACCTGTACATAAATGTATAATATGGAAGGCAAATATTCCCTATAATCCTATCCCCAAATAACCAACTCACTCAGATATTTGCAATCATAGACCTCCATAGTCACGTAAACAAAACTGGGCTCCTTCCATATATATTACTACCAGTTTAAGTGTCCAGAAGCTTTCTGGACTTTAGAACCCTTGGGTGGTTTTCCATTGACTGAAGGGCATTCCCTGCCCCCTCCACCCAGTAAAGGCCGCCTCCAGATCCAGCTTATCTGGACCCCTGGGTGACGCATTTCCAGACCATCCTGTCCATGGGCAGGATTCTTCCCTAATTTTTGGCTATTACAAGGAGCCTCCCTGTACATATCAAAATATTGCAAATCAGCATGGAAAAGACGTTTCATACAATAAACAGCATTGGGAGGACACCTTGTCTTTTCAATGAATCCAGCTAAGGGTCAGGCCAGCCCTTCAGGGCACAGTGGGAAAGGCACCATTGCCTCTGCTGAAGGTTCGTATCTTATGGGAAGTTCATGGGTGAGATTTGTGTCTTGAGGACATATTTAAGCAAGCAAAGAAGGATGAGAAGGAGCAGCTGGTACAGACAATGGATGCCCACCCTTTTCACCTGGAGGGACGCTATGCAGAGGCAAAGCTCAATTCAAATGCGATTCCATTTTGGGGCCACTGATAACGAGCGTTGAATTGAGGAATTCTTTGTGTTCAATCAAGAATGGTCTCCTTGCTCTTTTCACATGCCGTTTTTGTCTATCTCCGTACCACATTTACTTCTCAAACTAGAGCATTCTATTTCTGACACCTTTGGTTTGTCATCATCCAAACACCCGGTTCTTTTTCTAAAACACATGTACATCATCAGTTTTTGTTCTAATCTTTATTTTAAAGAGTTTTTGTGTCCCCCTCCCAAATTATGAAAACAACAGGGGTACATACATGTACCAGCGTGCCAATGCCATTGTCGTGAAGATGCAATGACTAAAAGTAAAGGTGACCCAGGGCCGGGGACCTTGAGGACTCGAAGGTGAGCCTTTGGATGCAGAGAGTGTGCAACATGGCGACTGAAAATGTGGTAGAAATTCACCTGCTATTTACCTTTCTCTTGACATTTATTCTTGGGGGACAGAACAAAAGTCCTTTCTGAAAGAGAGAAGAGGTCAATGAACGAGGTTATCCGGGAAGCTCTTCTTTCGTCCATATTGAAGTTCCCACTTCCTAGTGAATATTTATACCTGGACGTCCTACCGGGTCTCAAACCCAAGGTGGCTGAAAGCAACACCATTAGCTCCAACCTCCTCCAATCAGCTCTTCTTCTGAACGTCACTTGATAAACTCATTTTTTTCCTGTTACTCAAACCCAAGACCCATTAGTCCTTCCTTCCCAGTTCCTTTCCCACCCACATTCTCCTCTCCCTTTCTTCCTTGGTAGGTAAAATCCTTGTGATTTCATCCCAGTGATATTCTTTTTGGGTGTTTTTTGAGGCCTTGTGTTGGGGTCTGGGATCACAGAGATTAGTAGCCTTGTTTGTGGCTCAGAGGATTGAGTGTGAGCCAGGGAAGTGCAGAGGAGACACTGCCCATGGACAGGATGGTCTAGAAACGCGTCACCCAGGGGTCCAGATAAGCTGGGTCTGGAGGAGGCCTTTACTGGGCGGAGGGCGCAGGGAAGCTCTCAGAGATCTGGGTCTCAATCTGGCTTCCCCTGGTTTACCCCACCCAGTACCCCCAGGCTAAGCTTCTTAAGTCTCTCCTGACCTCACAGCCCTTTGCTCACATTTAAAGTTCTCCACGGTCAGCACCAACCTTTCTAATTTTATCACCCATAACTTTTCTCTATAAAAAATTGAGCTCTTTGTCAATCCTAATGGAAATTTCTTCACATTTCTGTAATTGAAATTGCGCTCGTCCTGCAAGAATTAAACCCATCACCCATCCGTCCCGTCATAATACCTTCAGCAGCTCTTCTAAGGTCTTTCCTCTGCAATGCACACTCTGTTTCCATTTCCTTGAAGTTGCCCGTTTTCCTTCAATTTCAAATTCTTTCGGGGTGAACCAAATTCCCTCCTCGTTCTGAATGCACTTCTCTGAGGATCCTGGAGGATAAAGACGGCCCATTCCCGGACCCAATCTCATGCTCTGTGAATTCACCCTAAACCTCCAAACTCCTAATTGCGGTCGTTCCGCCTGCCTGGGTCCAGAGAGACTCTCTGCAGGGAGGGAGGATAGCAGGGGAGCCTGGATTCCTCCTCTCTCAGGCTGAAGGAAGCCCTAAACCCTGTGGGAGCGGGAGAGGGTTTGCATTTTGTGCGACATCTGCATGCGGCAAGTATTGCCACTGGGTCCACGGTGGTGGAGTGGCCTGGCAGCCGGGTTCGCCACGACGCGGAAAAGCGAAAATTCCTTGTTAACAAGGCACTTCCTTCTCTGCAGCCTAGCTTGCAGGGTTTATCTCCTGGACAAGGAGACGCATGGGTATTTTCCTCTCTTCTAGTGGCTCCGGGCGTTCCAAAGAGCAGAAGATCAGGAAACCCACCTCGTTTCAGTCTCTCCTTATATAAAATCCCTCTAGCTTCACCACACGTCACGGGAAGTTTAGGAGAGTGAAAATCCACGGGGTCGTCTTCGGGTTTTTCTGGAAACAGAAGGGAAAGTAGAAGAGTACAGTTTCGCTCAGTCTTCGTTTTCTCTCTTTCCGGCCTTCCCCTTGCCCCGAACTCTAAGGACAGTAATGGTAACAATAATCACGTAAATGGCATTGGGGAACAGCCTCTGGTTAACTGGCAGCACTTCCTCCATTTTGAGTGGCAGATTAGCCACGTGTACAGAGTAGTTTCTGATCAACAAAGCCATCACCACCAACACTGCATCAAACAGAATGTTCAGTAAAGCAGATAGGGCTCCTGTGGTGGGTTTTAATTCATAAGCTAATTGGCTACCACCCACCGCTCCTTTATTCCATAAGCAACCTGTTTATCCCTCTACCTGGATAGAAGTTGCCAGCCCAGAATATTTCCTGGTGCTCGGCTAGCTGGAAGAAAGGTCTTTGTTTATAATCTTATCACCTGATTTACACCAAGGCGGGGTAAGTGAGGTGCTCAGCACCGAGAGATTAGTGTCAGTCTTCATTTTCTGCCGTCCTTTTTCATTTTATTGCTTTTCCGTTTCTTCCTCCATGAGTCAAAAAAGAACCCCCCACCCCCACCCCACCCCCCCTCACCGCCAAGAAC